TATTCCAAAACCCTATTCTAATTATTAAGGCCCCTACAGTAGAGAGGGGCGCCCAAGCTTGAGCAGTCGAGTCGCCGACGCCCAAGGCCCAAGGCCTCGAACGATGATTAGAGTACGCAGTTATAAGACAAATAGTTATTTAGGATTTAGGGTTTTAGGGTTTGGGTTTAGGGTTTAGGCTTTTGGGGTGCAGGGTTTATAGAGGCCGCTCGAACTGATCATGGAAAGCTGGCCCTTCCAGCTGCTCGGTAATATAGGAACCTGCTCAAGAACTCCACCGTCCTTCTTGGGGCCCTTTAAGTATGGATCTGATTATTCATGGGGAGGTAGAGCCTGTCATTACGTGGAATTACGTGGAATCAAGTTCCTGCATTCGATCCCGGAAGCCCTCCCCTTCAGGCTCCAGAGCCCGAAGCCGTCCTCAAGACTTTGCATAAGCCGGCTTATGAATGATGCCAAACTCCTCAACCGAAAACTCACACCCTAAACCCCTCGGCCCTCAGCGCCCTGAAACCTGTACCGCCATTCGAGTGTGCCAGAACCCTAGCTGCTTAGCTTAGGCCCCAGACTAAGCCGTTAAACACACAAACGTCAGCTACAACCTCTAAGCCCGACACCGCCAAACTTGCAAACCACCAAAACCATTCTTAAATCCCGAAGCTCACGAAGATTCAGCCCCCTCGGCCTTTAATCCTTATAGAACCCTTCAGCACGCCTTTCAGAGCCCTCATGAAATCCTTCAAAAACACCCGTCTAGCTAAGAACCAACACACTACAAGATCATGGCAACCACAGGAACCTAGAGTTCAACGAACTGGAGGAGTTGCCTGCCGAAGCCTCAGATGTTCTTCACGCGCTCAGTACTCACACATAGATGTCGCAATAAATAGCAACGGAATCCCTTTAGAGTCCCATAGTTCTGTGTGTATATATCTATATATATATATATATATATATCTCTCTCTCTCTCTCTCTCTATATATATATATAGAGTATTACATGCCCCGCTGCTACTACGTAAGCTCGTTGGTAGTCGAGCTTGGGTGCAGAGGTAGTTTAAGTGTTCTTGCCTTTCGGGTTGTGACCTCGGTTACCCGAAACGCTAAACTCTAGACCCTAAACCCTAAACCCTAAACCCTAAACCCTAAACCCTAGACCCTAAACCCTAAACAGACCTCGCACTTTCAACGCTAAGCCCTATGCTTCGCCTAAACCAGTCCTCGAGCCATGAGCCGTAGGGGTTTGCGTGTAGTTGTCTCTGCCTACACCTGAAAACCTCAACCCTAAACCCTAAATAATAGGGTTTAGGGTTTAGGGTTTAGGGTTTAGGGTTCAATTTGTAGGGGCCTAAACAATAGGGGCCTAAATAATGAATTACTAATACGATATTGGTACTTTGTAGTATAATGGGTCCCAAGACCCTATTCTAATTATTCAGGGTTCCTATAATATAGGGCCCCGGAGCCCTCTCACTTTGAGTCTACATCTTGCTCTAATTTTGCAAACTCTCAGCCGGGTTCTGCTCAGTTTTGCGCTGGCATCTGGAGATGACCGGACAACTAGACGACAAGCCACACTGCCATACTTCGGTTTCGTTCTGTGGCAGGCACAAACAGAACTTCATGGAGAAGTTCACACTACCCCAAATCCAAACTTTAGTTGATCCGAATCCTACAGCAACTAACCCCTGAATCCTGCTCCTTCTTCCCTCGACCCGAAACCCCAAACATGAATCCTTGCATAGACACCTCAAGACCCCCAAATGCTGGGACAGTGGGCCTCACATCTCTGATCCGTCTGCTTTTTGTTGGGTATCTAACGTGGTATACAACCCAAAGCCTGAACCCAGAACCTCGCATCCTAGATTTCAGTTCTTAAGAAATCAATCGGGCAACGCATCTTCTAGGCCCCAAGACCTAAATAGCCCGAAAAATACACCCGTAAGCTAAGCCCCCTGAGCCCTAAACCCTACGGGTAGGTGATCAGTCAAAAGCTGAGGCGGATGCCCTCCACGGCCTTGGAAAGCTCAAGGTGCTGTCAGGGTTTCAAGTGTTTAACCCTAAACCCTAAACCCCGAAACCCCAAACCCTAACCTCTGGACCCTAAACCCCTAAACCCTCAAACCCCTAAACCCCTAAACCCCTGAAGCCGCCTGAAGGCCCAAAACCCCTCAACTCTTCTTTTAGGACCGAAACATGAAGGGTTTTGGGCCTAGGGTTGATTGGGTTTCGAGTTTATGGGTTTAGGGTTTCAGTTTTGCAAGTCTACTTTCAAAATGCAACGCAGGAAGGAAGGAAGGAAGGAGGGGGAA